CGAGATATCGTGTAATATTGTCACAGTTCAGGAGCGTTTTACTTCAAAATTATTGTTTTCTCTGGCGTGGCTATCTTCTTATCTTGAGGTTATCTTGAGATGATTTCGAGGCTTTTTAGTGTCCCCGCGGCCCGGTCCTCGACCAGGCCTCCACCCCCAGGAAGCAGCCCGTGACAGCTGACTAACACCCAGGTATCTATTTTACTGCTAGGTATCAGGGGGCATAGGGTGAAAGAAACTCTGCCCATTGTTTCTCGCCGGCGCCTGGGATCGAACAAAGGACCACAGGATCACAAGTCCAGCGTGCTGTCCGCTCGGCCGACCGGCTCCCCTAAGGCTAAGATATCAAGTTTCGGAACAGTTCTGTTACTGATGTGCTAATTGTTTGTAATTTGGTGGGCAAAGTGATGTTATCAAACTGGAGGAGAAACAAGTATTATTTGAGTAATTATACCCATGCGTGAAACAATTATTTATAACTCCAGTGTTTGACTTACATTCATTTATATGTTCATTGTCAACCCGCTCACTATTATTGAACCCGTTCTTGTTATTGATGATGTGTAAACAAGCGCAAGTTTGGTTACCTGTTTTATTATTTAGTTATTATTAATATTATTGCTGCGAACATTTATCACTAAATATGTGTGTTGGTTTGTAGGTGTGTCGCTGTGTGGGTGTGTCCTGTGTTGGTGTGTCGCTGTGTGGGTGTGTCCTGTGTTGGTGTGTTGGTTTGTAGGTGTGTCGCTGTGTGGGTGTGTCCTGTGTAGGTGTGTCGCTGTGTGGGTGTGTCCTGTGTTGGTGTGTTGGTTTGTAGGTGTGTCGCTGTGTGGGTGTGTCCTGTGTAGGTGTGTCGCTGTGTGGGTGTGTCCTGTGTTGGTGTGTTGCTGTGTAGGTGTGTCGCTGTGTGGGTGTGTCACTGTGTAGGTGTGTTGCTGTGTGGGTGTGTTGCTGTGTAGGTGTGTTGCTGTGTAGGTGTGTCGCTGTGTAGGTGTGTCCTGTGTAGGTATGTCCTGTGTAGGTGTTGCTGTGTAGGTATGTCCTGTGTAGGTGTGTTGCTGTATAGGTGTGTCCTGTGTAGGTGTCGCTGTGTAGGTGTGTTGCTGTGTAGGTGTGTCGCTGTGTAGGTGTGTCGCTGTGTAGGTGTGTCGCTGTGTAGGTATGTCCTGTGTAGGTGTGTCGCTGTGTAGGTGTGTCGCTGTGTAGGTGTGTTGCTGTGTAGGTGTGTCCTGTGTAGGTATGTCGCTGTGTGGGTGTGTCCTGTGCAGGTGTGTTGCTGTGTAGGTGTGTCCTGTGTAGGTGTGTCGCTGTGTGGGTGTGTCCTGTGCAGGTGTGTTGCTGTGTAGGTGTGTCCTGTGTAGGTGTGTCGCTGTGTGGGTGTGTCCTGTGTTGGTGTGTTGGTTTGTAGGTGTGTCGCTGTGTGGGTGTGTCCTGTGTAGGTGTGTCGCTGTGTGGGTGTGTCCTGTGTTGGTGTGTTGCTGTGTAGGTGTGTCGCTGTGTGGGTGTGTCACTGTGTAGGTGTGTTGCTGTGTGGGTGTGTTGCTGTGTAGGTGTGTTGCTGTGTAGGTGTGTCGCTGTGTAGGTGTGTCCTGTGTAGGTATGTCCTGTGTAGGTGTTGCTGTGTAGGTATGTCCTGTGTAGGTGTGTTGCTGTATAGGTGTGTCCTGTGTAGGTGTCGCTGTGTAGGTGTGTTGCTGTGTAGGTGTGTCGCTGTGTAGGTGTGTCGCTGTGTAGGTGTGTCGCTGTGTAGGTATGTCCTGTGTAGGTGTGTCGCTGTGTAGGTGTGTCGCTGTGTAGGTGTGTTGCTGTGTAGGTGTGTCGCTGTGTAGGTGTGTTGCTGTGTAGGTGTGTCGCTGTGTAGGTGTGTTGCTGTGTAGGTTTGTCGCTGTGTAGGTGTGTCGCTGTGTAGGTATGTCCTGTGTAGGTGTGTCGCTGTGTAGGATGATGTCGGAATGACATCTCCAAGAGTCTGTACTGTACTGGTCTTGGACACCTGAACATTTTGGGCTCTTGTGAGAAGTCACTTTCGACTTCTTGAAGAAATAATGTGGATTGACGTTATCTAACTTGTTCAATACCTTGAATGTCTCTAAGGTCAGCCCTGTCGGGCCTTGTTTACAGAATGTTAGTCCCAAGACCTCCAGCCGGTCCTCGTGTTGGAGCTTAGTTCTGGGGCGCTTTTTGTCTCATTGTAGATTTTGGTTTACTTGTTTGCGTTTTGTCAATGATTTGTTTATTTCTCTGGTTAAGATGGATATTAAAATTGCTGATCCAACGTGAAATTATTGTTCACAGTCTAGTGGTCTATCTCTCCGAGGTCCTTGACTTCTTCACTCAAGTAAGGTGTGTTGTCAGTATGGCAGCTGTCAGTATTCATATGGCTCACTTTTAGCGCGCGCACACCCAAGAGACCCAGCACTCAACGAAGCCCCTTCCTGAGCCGATAGTGTGTCTGCATAATTGGTAGCGGAGTTAATGTGATTCTGGAGACTTGTGGCTACCTGTCATCTCCTCACTGCCTCTGACACAGCAGCTCGTCCTCTCCAGCGATCACAACGTCACTAAACTGATGTATTACATCGACTGAACCTAACATAAGCGAGGACCTATGAATAGAAAAACGGGACATCACATCAATTTTGTGAGCCGCTATGATTTTGAGTGCGTTAATTGTGAGTCATTGAGGGATTATACGTCAAAATGCGATGTGGTGCTGGAGAGGCCGGGTTGACGCGATAGAGAGCGTTGCTTGAAGACTTTGAACACTTTATCATTGAGATATTTGACGAAGTGATGCTGTTTGTGTGTGATGTTATTAGTTGACTGATGTTGACTCGTAATTAGGAGGTAGGAGTACACCTGCAGGTTTGTAACACTTGTCTACGCTCACCTGTGTGATATTTTTCATTTGGGGGGAGGGGGGGGGGGCTTCTGGTACCAATTTTTGGTATTGTACAAGTTGTGTTGTGTTTTTGAGGAGTGGTTGGCGGGCGTGAGACTCCGGGCCAGCCGCGGCCCTGGCTTGTCACTGACACAGTACAGCTTTAAATATTTCTTTTGCGTGTCTCCGTTATTCTCCCTCTTCTCCCTTTATGCTTTTTTTTCTCCCTCCCTCCCCACCCTTCATTTTTCCTTGCTATTACCACTACATCCTTCTTACGTTTTTACTGCACCCTCAACCATCCCTCCTCTCTCTCTCTCTCTCTCTCTCTCTCTCTCTCTCTCTCTCTCTCTCTCTCTCTCTCTCTCTCTCTCTCTCTCTCTCTCTCTCTCTCTCTCTCTCTCTCTCTCTCTCTCTCTCTCTCTCTCTCTCTCTCTCTCTCTCTCTCTCTCTGTCTCTCTGTCTCTCTGTCTCTCTCTCTCTCTCTCTCTCTCTCTCTCTCTCTCTCTCTCTCTCTCTCTCTCTCTCTCTCTCTCTCTCTCTCTCTCTCTCTCTCTCTCTCTCTCTCTCTCTCTCTCTCTCTCTCTCTCTCTCTCACTTGACCCTGAGAAATAGGACACAGACTCCTGGCTGTCACTGAATATATTACTCATTTTGTTCCCCATTTGAGTGAGTGAGTACGCCAATGTTTACGTACTGGCCGAAATGTATTCGAAGGTCGAAGTTCAGCTCCTGGGCCCTTACTTAGTCGTTGATCACCTGCACTGTTGAAGGGGCTAAAGGTAGTTTGAACTGAAATGAATATAGTTGAGAGGTGTTAAGTGTAGGACAGTTTAATAATTCTCTTGAGAGCGCTGTGTTTCAAGGTAGACTCGTAACTAATGCCGTGTTGTTCTAAGAGGCGAGTGAGCCACGTGGGAGGTGGTGGCGGGAGTCATACAGGTACATGCACGCCGGAGGTCCACCAGTGTCTTCAAGGACACTCCAGGGAGGTTGACCTTGAAGTGTTGAGTGGGTGTACACAACACACAACTGTCATTAACCTCCTTGAGTGTACCAGAGGATATACATACCTCCTTGAGTGTACCAGAGGATATACATACCTCCTTGAGTGTACCAGAGGATATACATACCTCCTTGAGTGTACCAGAGGATATACATACCTCCTTGAGTGTACCAGAGGATATACATACCTCCTTGAGTGTACCAGAGGATATACATACCTCCTTGAGTGTACCAGAGGATATACATACCTCCTTGAGTGTACCAGAGGATATACATACCTCCTTGAGTGTACCAGAGGATATACATACCTCCTTGAGTGTACCAGAGGATATACATACCCCCTTGAGTGTACCAGAGGATATACATACCTCCTTGAGTGTACCAGAGGATATACATACCTCCTTGAGTGTACCAGAGGATATACATACCCCCTTGAGTGTACCAGAGGATATACATACCTCCTTGAGTGTACCAGAGGATATACATACCTCCTTGAGTGTACCAGAGGATATACATACCTCCTTGAGTGTACCAGAGGATATACATACCTCCTTGAGTGTACCAGAGGATATACATACCTCCTTGAGTGTACCAGAGGATATACATACCTCCTTGAGTGTACCAGAGGATATACATACCTCCTTGAGTGTACCAGAGGATATACATACCTCCTTGAGTGTACCAGAGGATATACATACCCCCTTGAGTGTACCAGAGGATATACATACCTCCTTGAGTGTACCAGAGGATATACATACCTCCTTGAGTGTACCAGAGGATATACATACCTCCTTGAGTGTACCAGAGGATATACATACCTCCTTGAGTGTACCAGAGGATATACATACCTCCTTGAGTGTACCAGAGGATATACACTCCGATTGTGGGTTCTCTCGTGTATACATCCAGCTCTAATTTATTTAAATAAAATATTCAAATTTATTCTTTGTATTTCAGCTCGGCTCGTGTCGGTCCGTCCGGCTCGTGTCGGTCCGTCCGGCTCGTGTCGGTCCGTCCGGCTCGTGTCGGTCCGTCCGGCTGGTGTCGGTCCGTCCGGCTCGTGTCGGTCCGTCCGGCTCGTGTCGGTCCGTCCGGCTCGTGTCGGTCCGTCCGGCTAGTGTCGGTCCGTCCGGCTCGAGTCGGTCCGTCCGGCTCGTGTCGGTCCGTCCGGCTCGTGTCGGTCCGTCCGGCTAGTGTCGGTCCGTCCGGCTCGTGTCGGTCCGCCCGGCTCGTGTCGGTCCGCCCGGCTCGTGTCGGTCCGTCCGGCTCGTGTCGGTCCGCCCGGCTCATGTCGGTCCGTCCGGCTCGTGTCGGTCCGCCCGGCTCGTGTCGGTCCGTCCGGCTCGTGTTGGTCCGTCCGGCTCGTGTCGGTCCGCCCGGCTCGTGTCGGTCCGCCCGGCTCGTGTCGGTCCGTCCGGCTCGTGTCGGTCCGTCCGGCTCGTGTCGGTCCGCCCGGCTCGCGTCGGTCCGCCCGGCTCGTGTCGGTCCGTCCGGCTCGTGTCGGTCCGCCCGGCTCGTGTCGGTCCGCCCGGCTCGTGTCGGTCCGCCCGGCTCGTGTCGGTCCGTCCGGCTCGTGTCGGTCCGCCCGGCTCGTGTCGGTCCGCCCGGCTCGTGTCGGTCCGCCCGGCTCGTGTCGGTCCGTCCGGCTCGTGTCGGTCCGCCCGGCTCGTGTCAGTCCGCCCGCCTCTTGTCGGTCCGTGGACTGGTGTCGTTTACTTGCCTGATTGGATGCCTTTAACTCTGATAATGTGATGAGGGTGGTATTGAACACTATGGGAGGGACCATGGGAGAGTATTATGGGAGAGGGACCATGGGAGAGTATTATGGGAAAGGAACCATGGGAGAGTATTATGGGAAAGGAACCATGGAACAGGAACCATGGGAGAGTATTATGGGAGAAGGACTATGGGAGAGGAGAAACTAGGAATAGACTACCGTATTAGGGGAAGCTATTGTATATAAATGGTCGCTTTCAGAAGAGAATGCTTTGCTTTTATTGTTTAATAATCTAGGAACGTGACAATACTGTGCGGCAGGAAGTGGTGGGTTGCCAGCTTGAAGTGGTAAGTGTACCCCCGAGGTACAACTGCCTCTCTGGCACCGTTAAAGGGACAGTGCCACGGTAACTAGTGACCATCAGTCTCAAGTTACATTACTGTCAATGACCACAACTTCTGAATAGTGGGAAACATGAAGTTACATTGTGTGTGGCTTTGTGGTTGACCTGTGGTCCGAGTTCTGATTAACCTGAGGCCCGAGTTTGGCCAGACCTGTGACCTCAGTTGACCTGTGGCCCAAGTTGGCCATGACCTGTAACTTATAATGTTGACCGACCTTCCATATATAGCTGATGGTGATAGATTGAGGATTTCTGGGGACAGGTTCGGTGTAATAAAAAAAAAGGAAAAAAGCAAGGCACTTTGTCAGATTTCAAGACTGTTTTGTCTGCCAAATAGGATCTTGTGTCCTTCTTAGGACACAAGATCCTATTAGGATACTATCTTAGAGCTTCACTACTTGAGTTAAATTCTATGAGTCACACTCTATATTCTTCTTTAATTTTGTGTAAGTCATTCCGTAGTTTTGTAATGTCTTTCAGCGAATTTATCCTCATAATATATAAAGCAGCAGACATAAAAAGAAAGAAGTCTATCCCCTGTGTTAAGTCCTTGACAAAGAGAATATGAAGAGAATAGTGGTGACCCCCTTGAGACGCTGCTAGCCACCACCCCGCCATCCTGGGGTCTCTCTCCTCTGTTTTCAGTTGCCGAGGTACTCCATTATCCACAGAACACTTTTCCCAAGTCACTCCCCCTGTGTTCCACCACTGTATGCACTGGTCTGGTGCGTGGGGCGCCGTGTCCCACGCTCTCCACATTAAACAAGTATACACTCCGCCCGCCCTTCTCTGCCTGGTGTAATCTGGACGACCCGCTCATAGAACCGTGACGCTGGAGGCTGTGGATGTGACCAACATGTTAGTCATGACTGACCTGGTGGCTGAGGGAGGAACGTAACGTTGATATTTAGACTAAAGAAAGGCAATAGTCTCTAAGAGTGAACACGAGGATATTCCATGATGGACGCGGGAAGACACTAACTTGGGAAAGGTAACTTTAATTTGATCAGACCACACACTAGAAGGTGAAGGGACGACGACGTTTCGGTCCGTCCTGGACCATTCTCAAGTCGATTGTGAATGGTCCAGGACGGGTTGATACGTCGTCGTCCCTTCACCTTCTAGTGTGTGGTCTGGCCAAACTACTTCAGCCACGTTATTGTGACTCATCGTCTGCATAACTTTAATTTTATCAAAAGTTTAGTTAATGGTTTAGACCGTAGCTTAAGGGACAAGATTATTCCTCTGTATTAATTTTCATCAAAGCTAATTACATTTTTCCTGGGCGATTACGGAACCTTCCTGCCGAAGAGATGAGGATACCCGATCTAAATTTGTGCCTGATGAAATGATAAAACTTTCCATTATAAAACCTTGAATTGAATTATATATATTACATATGATTAATTTTTTTGTGTTAAATTTGAGTTAAAATTAACATTGAAATACGTATCCTTACCTAAACTAACATAACCAAGTCAATAATTCGTGTTATTAATATAATGATATTCAAATAAACCCATTGGAAACAATTTTTTTAAGATAACGAAAACGACTCTGCCTGTTAGGCAAATCGAGCCTTGCATACTAGGCTAAGTAGTGCGTTCTGGTTATTAGGTACGATATATATATATATATATATATATATATATATATATATATATATATATATATATATATATATATATAATATATAATATATATAGTGGGAGAGGAAGGGTACAAGGGGAAGGGAAGAGGAGGGGGAGACTAGCCCGGCCACCGTCCCCTCTAGTATTCTATAAGATATCGTTCCATTAGCTATAGCCGAGGCGGTGCTGGAAGCCCGGAGGAGCAGCAACAGCCAACAAGTGCTACTCAAACATGCAGTTAATAAAGGTCGACGCTCTCCGGAATGTTAACAGCTTCAGCAGTCAACTACTGATAGTGAACCTTCAGTATGTTAACAGCCTGGCTGGCTGGTGGTCCAAGGAGCATGTCGAAGTCCTTGTGGCTGTCTGTTCCTCCGTCGCGGGGTTCCTTCCCCCCAGGATCTTTGAGCCCTAGGGGAGTGTATCTGCATCTGGGCCTCCACAATTACCCATAGGGGAGTGTACCTGCCTTCCTGTACCTCTTTCCCTAGTAGTACCAGCCTCCAATTTTGCCTGCTGGCCCGTCAATGGTCACTTGTCAACTTGGAACTGCGCACTCTAAGAGGTACTTTTTCTCAATTCTTCCTGTCAGGAATTTGTATATACTTGGAAATCATCTCCTGTGGTACTTGTCTGCTTGTACCCTCGGCCCCCAGGGTACAGCACGTCTGTATTCGTTTTCCAGGGTACCAGCACGTTTGTACCCCTCGCCCCCAGGGTACAGCACATTTGTACCCTTGGCCCCCAAGGCACCCGCCCGTCTGTACCCTCGTGCCCCAGGGTACAGCACGTCTGTACCCTCGTGCCCCAGGGTACAGCACGTCTGTACCCTCGTGCCCCAAGGCACCCGCCCGTCTGTACCTCGTGCCCCAGGGTACACCACCTCTGTACCCCTCGCCCCCCAGGGCACCCGCCCTCGTGGATCCCCTCCCATGTTTCTCCACAACAACGGGCGCAGAATACCGGCCCAAGCATGCAAGCGAGATGCATTGTCTCCGTCTGGCGTGTGTTTACATCGGGGAGGAGAAAAGTGGAGGTCGTCTGTGTTTCACCATTTTGTCCTGAGTGTCCCCACCTGCCGGCGGCCTCTTCCTCCACATTCTCTCTCCAATGTTTTCTTCCCCTGTTTTTTGCCTTTTGAGAATTTAATGAATGGTTTTAGTTTTATAGAGTTTTTGCGTTTTGCCGAATAAGGTGACGTTGTAGAGTTTAACGTGGGAACACATTAAACTCACGTTAACGTGAGTTAACGTAACGTTAACTAACACAATAACAGTTTAAGAGTATGAACCTAGCCGGGGACCAAGAGCTGTGGTAACTACGGTAATCTAAAACATTTATAAGTGTACTTAAACACGAAGGAACCAACAGACACGTACATAAATTTAACAAAAACACGAACATCAGAAAAACAAGTAAACATTGGGTCTTGTAGAACATAAACACAATATTGTATACATCTGTCATCACTTGAAGTGATGCAATACAATATATTGCATGTATACAATAGAAGTATACAAGCAAGTGCCTTCAAGCCCCGCACGTCAACCAGGAACACCTGAGAATTGTAGGTGCAGCAGGAGGATAAGCAGGAGCAGGAGACGCTAGAAGAGCTTCTCTTCGTCCTCCTGTAGCTTTTCTTCTTCCTCCTGTAGCTTCCCTTCCTCCTGTAGCTTCCCTTCCTCCTCCTGTAGCTTCCCTTCCTCCTCCTGTAGCTTCTCTTCCTCCTCCTGTAGCTTCCCTTCCTCCTCCTGTAGCTTCTCTTCCTCCTCCTGTAGCTTCTCTTCCTCCTCCTGTAGCTTCTCTTCCTCCTCCTGTAGCTTCTCTTCGTCCTCCTGTAGCTTCTCTTCGTCCTCCTGTAGCTTCTCTTCCTCCTCCTGTAGCTTCTCTTCCTCCTCCTGTAGCTTCTCTTCCTCCTCCTGTAGCTTCTCTTCCTCCTCCTGTAAGCTTCTCTTCCTCCTCCTGTAAGCTTCTCTTCCTCCTCCTGTAGCTTCTCTTCCTCCTCCTGTAGCTTCTCTTCCTCCTCCTGTAGCTTCCCTTCCTCCTGTAGCTTCTCTTCCTCCTCCTGTAGCTTCTCTTCTTCCTCCTGTAGCTTCCCTTCGTCCTCCTGTAGCTTCCCTTCCTCCTCCTGTAGCTTCTCTTCCTCCTCCTGTACCTTCTCTTCCTATCCTCCAATATTTGTGTTTGTAGACACTTGCTTGAACGCCTTGAAGTGAGGAGGAGTAGGAGTAGGAGGAACAGGAGGAGAGACGGAAACGGGGAGGAAAGACAGGCATACTAACTTCCCCATTATACTGGCTCGTCTCCGCCACGGAAAGATGAAAGGAAACTGAAACGGGGAAGGGGGGGAGGAGAGAGATGGGGCGTGATGGAGAGGGGAGTAGGGAGGGAGTGATTGAGAGTTTGAGGGAGTGAGTGATGGGGAGGGGGTGTAGGTTGTGATGGAGAGGAATTACAGAGAGGAGGGGGGAGGGAGTGATGGAGAGGGAGAGAAGGATGTGAGGAAGGGCGTGTTCATCCTGGTGTTGGGGAACTTGAGGCACTGTTGCTGGCACTTCCTGGTACACGTCAGTGCCATGGCTGCACATTCTGCTTCCTGCTCTCTGCTTGTCCTTCTGGCTTTCTGTCGCCCGTTTCCTCTGTCTGCTGAGTTATTTGGGTTTGTCTGCTCATTACCTGTCCTTGTCTGTTACTCTTCTTTTTTCTAATTTACTTCACGGTTTCTTTGTTTTATCTATTTCAGCTTTTTGTCGTGTCTGTGTCCAGACTCTTGTTAGAGGTCTATGTCCTCCTTCCCTTATACCTCGTGTCTCACTGTTCCTCACTACCAGGACCTCCCTCACCACCAGGACCTCCCTCACTACCAGGACCTCCCTCACTACCAGGCCCTCCCTCACCACCAGGACCTCCCTCACTACCAGGACCTCCCTCACTACCAGGACCTCCCTCACTACCAGGCCCTCCCTCACTACCAGGACCTCCCTCACTACCTCCATACCATCCAGTCGGCACCTCCGCCACAAACTCATACCCAC